CCGACGGGGCGACCGGTGGGAGGAGGGGAGGGGGCGGCTCCGGTCGCCCCGTCGGGTTGGGCGGCTCCCGGTCCCGCCCCCGCGATGTGATGCCGGGGCGGATCGCACCCCCGGGAATGTATCCGTCGGTGCGGGGTCAGGGAGCTGCTCGTTTCGGCTCGCTCCCGGGGATACTCAATATGGAGCTGAACTTGGACCCGTCGGAGCTGCAGCCGCTGGGGGAATATGATTTCGAGAGGAGCTTCAATGATCGGGATGCTAGGGAATGGATGCAGGACAACTGGTGAGAAGAGAGGAGGTGGTGGTTCCAGTGCATGCATCTCGGACCCTGGGTAGCCCCGTCGGGTTCTGCTGTTTCTAGCGGAGCGGGCATGGGGTCCTCAGCCCTGAGGGGGAGGATGAGGTTGGAGGGGGTTCTGGTTGCGTTGATGGTGCAGGTGCTGGCCTCACACCTGCAGCTGTCAGGGAAGGGCTACGGCACCACATTGGGCAGAGCAAATGATGGTCAAGGTCATGCTGCAGTGCGTAAGGAGGTTGTGATGTGGCAAGAGGGCAAGGAGCATCCATAGATGGCCACTGCAGCCCTTACACTGGCAAACAGGGCACTCAGCCCTGCCATGGTGCCCTGAAGCCTTAGGAAGGAGTGGGATGTAACACATGGCCCTTGAGCCTCCAGCTTTGTGGTGGAACTGACCTCTTTAGGCAAAGAGCATCTTATGCCTGTAGTGTCTCATGTGTAAGCAGATAAAATGCATTGATGTGTTTGCTCAGGATCCTGCTCGCAGGTTACCAGATCCTGCCTTGCCCCATCAAGGTCCTGTGGAAATCTCCACAATGTAACAGCTCACTTTCTTTCCTGCAATTCCCACGGTTTTCCTCGCCAGCTCTGCACACTGCCAGGGCAGGGTTCTTGTGACCAAGCCCAACCTTAATACAAGAATGTGAGATCTTTTGTTATTTGGTGAGAGCAATCTGCTGGAGCTACAGAAGTCCAGCTGGAAATAGGTCAGTCTGCATGTTTTCCTGACTGCTCCTTCTCCTCTACTTGCAGGCACAAGTCTTTATTTTTTGCTGTGGCTTATGTGATCCTGGTCTTTGGAATTCAGCATTTCATGAAGGAACGGAGAGGCTACAAACTGCGCGTGCCACTGACCCTGTGGTCCCTCAGTCTGGCCTTGTTCAGGTAAGAGCCTTTGCTAAAGACTGAGACAGATGTAGACCTTCCCTCAGGACTGGATTGATGGAAAGTTCTGGGTATTCGCTATGTCATTAGCAAAACAAATGTTTTTTTCCTCTTGGAGGCCCTGTCTCATAAGGGGAAATGAGCTGCTCATAGAGGTGGTTCGTTCCCCACCAGAAATACTCCAGCAAGTCAAATGAGTTGCGGAAGGACTGCCGGGGACTGTGCTTGAAAATCATTAGTGGGTAGATTTGAACGTAAAGTCTGCACGATCGGACATCATTCAAAGGGTGCCTGACAATTAAAAGTTTGATCTGAGGTCTATTATTCTTACAAATGGAGATGATTCCCCCACTACCACCACCTTTTTCTAATCCTGTTGTGTAGGAAGTGGGGAAAATTCTGGTACGCTCACAGAAGCACCTTTTTTACTATAAATCTAAAGAAGAGTATGAAGGAGGCTGGGACGTCCTCTCTGGCCAGCAGCATAAACTGGTTGAATGTATCAAAGTTGCCGACAATCACCAGTCCTTGAGTTGTCTTTCCAATATGCTTTGATACAGGAGAAAAAAGAAAAAAGTATGAGTAGTTGCAATGGCAGGAGAATGGTGGTACAAAGACAGGGTTATTTTGCTGCCCATTTTTTAGAGACACCTTTTAAGAACAATGTGGTACTACTGCCAAGTTCTAGCTCTGATTATTTTTTTTTTCCCCCAGCCATGCAAGATGTGAACATCAGTCTAAAATATCTGTTGTCAAACTGTCCAGTTTTACAGTACTGGTTTCCTGCAGTGACCGTTAGAATGATTCAGCCCACGCTCTGTAGCTAAACAAGCAGATGATGATTTTCCAACATTCCCCTCGTGTCCATACCTTTTCAGTCTTTTTGGCGGGAGAAAGCAAAACTAGACTACTGCTTCTGTAACTCCAAAGGAGTCTCTGCCTACATGCACAAGGTGGCTTTGATCCAGTCTAAGTAAGGGACACTGGTTGCCCTCTGTGAGAGTAGGGCATGGCAGTGGTCTGTAAAATCACAAGTGGTGGGAGAGGGAGGGTCAGGGGATGACTGTTCACGGTCTGTTTGGAGACAAGCTCATTTGAATGAAATGTATAGGTTGATAACAAAGAAAAAAGAAAGTTTCTTCTTATAAGCTGTAGGAACTGTCTGTCACAGCAGGTTGTAAATGCTCCCTGGGCATGCACTGTTGGCCCCTGTCAGGAGACGGGACACCAGGACAATAGTTCCCCTTTTCTGACCAGACGTGGCAGCTCTTACTCTTGAAGTAGTGGAAGCAGAGGGTGTAATGAGGGACCATTCTTCGCTGCTCAGACCTTGGTGGCTGCCATCCTTCCAGAGTTGCCACATGGTAGCAGGCAAGCCAAAGGGCCATGGTAGTGGCTCACAACCTACTTACTCCTTGTGCCTTGCTGCTGTTCTGGTGTGAGCAGCAGCCCTTCCCTGCTCTGTCTTGCAGAAATATGTATTTGAAATCCTGACCAAGAGGTCTTGGACAAGCCTGTGTCCAGCAAATGGGGAGCTGAAATCTGCTTGGAAGTCTAAGACGACAACAGTTTATTTAGAGGTCCCCGAGACTGCCACGGGCATCGAGATGGAATTAGCTGAATATTCTTGGGTGCAGAGCTGTGGAAGGCTCTGGTGGGGCTCTGGGCACAGTGTTCAGCTCTCCTCTGGTTTTCTTGCAGTGCCATTGGGGCCAATCGCATCTGGAAGCAAATGGCCTTCATCCTCTCTACCAAGGGATTTAAGCAATCGGTGTGTAGTCAATCCTTCTACGTCCACCCCATCTCCAAGTTTTGGGTCTATTTATTTGTGCTGAGCAAACTCGTGGAACTGGGTGAGTCTGAACCTTCTCTTTATCCCATGTGTTCATAACTCCTTTGCTTTTATAAGCAGGTTTTTTTTACAGGTCTCTGTCCAAATGTTATTCAGAGTACAGGGCTGCCTAGCCTTGCACGTGTCGCTCATTTTCTCACTTCTTACTTCCCAACCCAGATGACGCGCTCACTCTGCACGAGGTTGCAGCCTGATGTTATTGCTCTGGTTTGATCCCCAGGCCAATGCCTGGACTGGGCAACTCTGCATTGGGATGACTGCAGCGAGGGGGCAACAGGCAGGGCAGGGCTGGGCTTTCCACCTAGTTTCCATTCAAAAAAGTACAGAAGAGGTGGTCTGAAGTTTTGTGTAGGTACAGCTAAGTAAGCAAGCCTGGGGCAAGGGGCTTTTGTACCACAAACGTGCCAGCAGGTAGGTACCTACATGGGCTTTGTCGATACAGATGATTCCAATGGGAACCTAGGGTTTGGTGGGATCAAGCCACATAATGGTTTCAGCATTGCAGCTCGCTCATTCTGCCTCACATGAAAACTTGCACAACTGCTGTGCTTTTGCTTTTACCTGACTAATGGTGCACCTCTCCCCCAACCCAAGGTGACACCATGTTCATTGTTCTCCGGAAAAAGCAGCTCATCTTCCTCCACTGGTATCACCACATTACCACAATGATCATCACCTGGTATGGCTATAAGGATATGGTGGCAGGCGGCGGCTGGCTTGCAGTCTTGAACTTCAGTGTCCATGCTGTCATGTACTCCTACTACAGCGTACGAGCCGCAGGCTTCCGGGTATCCCGCTTCCTCGCCTTGGCAATCACCTTATCACAGGTGCTGCAGATACTGGTATATATAATATTGAACATCTTGATCATCTTCTGGATGGAGGATAAGGTCTGCCACACCACCTGGAGAATTGTTTTTCTTTCATCCATGGCATATCTCAGTCTCCTGGTGCTCTTCTGCAACTTCTTCTTCAAGACTTATCTGAGGAGCACCCAGAAATCAAAGGGGCAATAAAACCAGGGAGGGAAGAAGAGACTGGGGTGGAGGTGGGGATAGGGAAAGGGGAAAGATTTCACTCCTGTCTGGAGCTCAGGTGCCTGATGGGACCGGTCTGATGGACGTTAGGAGGAGGTTATTCTAGATAACAGCCTTCAGATTAACTTGCACATTGGCCTTTGGTGTGTCTGCCTTGCAGTGGGTGGAATGCCAGAGTGAGGTGTGAGTTGTTGCAGGCTAATAGCAGCAGGAGAGGGGGGGTGGCCAGGGGCTGGAGACCTCACAGCCATGGTTCTGCTTTTCTCTCTTCTCTGCATCACTCAGGTTTGCCTTGTGCCTTGCCTGCTTCCCAGGGGCTGCTTGGATCCTGCATGCACCAATTCTCTCCTTGGGAAAAAGTATGGAAACTCCTCTCAAAACAGCACTGCCTGTTCCATGGTCTCCAGTCCTGGAGGAGAGCAGGGGAGCAAAGCCCAAATCTGCTGCCACTGTCTGTGTGGGGCAGCCCCAGGAAGTTGCCAGTGGGAACAGCACTGAACTGGAAAATCCCTGCTGTTTTTTAAGGTTGTGTAGGGAGAGGAAACAGGAATGTTTTTTTCATCCTGGAACCAAACTTGTAAAGCTCTTTCAGAGCTGTTCTTCCCCTTCAAACCAGCGGCTTCTTCTGGCCAGTACGATGCTGCCTGGTTTTAGGCTTATCCGGCTGACACAGGGAGAGGAGGAACCATTCCCTGCCTCGTCTGGTGCCCCTCTCAGTTCTGTCCTGGGCCATGATGAGGATCCTGCCCTGCCTCTGTACACTGGTACTAGGAGGGCAGGATGTGGGCCAAGGCGCTCGTGTGCCCTGCGGCCAACCTCGTCACACGTTTGTACTGTGGCTTTGCACAAGTCCTTTCTTCCATCTCTGTGCCTCAGTTTCTCCTCTTACCTTGCAGTAGCAATTTGTGGGGACAGGGGCTGCTTAAAGAGCATCTTGTGGCCAGATGCTGCGCAGACATTTAGTGCTGTGCGGCACTCATGGCTCACTGTGCCCGGGGCAGGCAGAGCCTGAGCTGGCTGCATGTCCTTTTTCCACCCAGATCAGAGGGATGACACCTTCCCCCTTGTGTCATCTTCCAACCCCAAAAGTAACCTGTGTCCTCAAACAGGGAGGTAGATATTGTGAGCCTCAGGCTTGTTGGCTAGCTTGTGAAACCCTGTCAGGATGCTTCCCTTCCGTAGTTTTCACCAGTTTGGGCTTTACCAGTGTAGCAGTGACATTGGCCCTCAGTCCCTGCCCCTCCCTCAGCTCCCTTCCCTAGGGCTGGCGTAAGTGCTGTTCCCACTGGCGTCTGCCTGGGCTGAGCTGATAGCAGGTGGCTGACAGGACCCCGTGGTGGGAGTCTTGTGACCCGTAGCCCCAGGAGGGCTCAGTAGGGTCCTTCCCGAGTGCCACAGACTCCTTGGAGCTCCCCAGGAAGACCCTGAGTGGGGAGATGAGCGCTGGTGCCTCCTGCAGCCAAATTCCAGCCGCTGCTTATAGGAGCACAAAACATATAGCTGGAAAAGCAGCACCAAGACTGTGAGCTGAACCCAAGCAATGACCTGACTGATGCCTTACCTGATCTGCTGTAAATGGTGAACTGGCAGGCACAGGTTTAAATGTCACCCTCCATACTGGGAATCCAGCTGAAAGGAGCTTCTGGGTGATGTGGTTATCCGGTGAGACAGGCTCTGCCTCAGCTCTCCCTTCTCCTCTGTGGTGCAAGGAACTGAATCCCATGAACTTTAATGGCTGTTATCTGGGGTAAGTCCCTTGTACAATATTAAAAAAATCTATTTAACCTGACTAGCTACTGCCTCAGACCCTGGGAGCTGAGCAGGGCCAAGCTTTGCTCCACAGAGCATGTTGGGCATTGCCTACAGTCCCAGCCCAGGGCCAGCCCCACAGGCTGGAGGCAGAAGGGTCCCAGAGCCAGCTCCTATCAGGGTGCATCTGCTACTGTGTGATGTGTCAAAATGACTAATAAATGATGTCATGTATGGATTGATTTATTTGAGGCCTTTTTCATACTTGAACTTTGTTCTGAACTGTGAGAGAAGCGTTGTTTTCTCTGTCTCGATCCTGTGTCTTCCTGAGGGTTAGCAACAGCAAGGTGTCTGGTAGGCTCTGTTCCTCTGTGCTTCCCCCTTCTGCAGTCATCAACAGCTGGTCCTGCTGCCCAAGCCCCTTTGCTTACTGCCAGGGAACTAGAAATGAGAGGGAGATGATAAAAAAATCAGGCTTTTGTTTTACCATCTGAACTGAGTGTGGCTGCTCGAGGTCACTGTGCTTCATTAAGCCAAGACAAGACTCGGAGCATGAGTTTGGCTGGGAGCACCCCAGGGTCTGAGCCCCTGGACGGATGCTGGCTCCTACCTGGTGGATGGGATTTGGCCCTTGGAGGCAGCAGGCTGCAAAGCTACCGCAAGGCTGTGGTCTGCACTTTCCACCCTGGGAGATGGCAGCTGCCTGCGCCCTGCCCAGCCTTCCCTGATGAGCAGAGCTCCTGCTCTGGACTTCGCAGTGTGGTGGGTAGGAGCGGAGCAGCACTTTCCCTGGCTTTGGGAAATGCAGAAGCAGGCAGCTGAGGTGATGGTATTTGGGGAAGAGGAATAAACTGGCCTCCACATTTGGAAGCTCTCTTTAGAGATGGGATGGTGAACACACAGGAGTAATGGGGTGACCTCTTTCCTGCATGGTGCTATTTGAGGCACTTTCTGTGACAGCCATGGTCCCGGTGAGAGAACCGCCAGCTCTCTCCTCACACATGTCTACAGCTGCCCCAGCAGTGCTGCCTCAGCTGCGTCAGGCATCCCCACAAGCACAAGAGCATTGAAGAAGTGGTGTTTCCACAGTTGCTCTTTTCTCCCTAAAAGGCCTGATGTGCTCTTGGTGCTTCAGAAGTGATGCTCTGTGGGATGAGGTCAGCTGACCGACTGCCCTCACTCTGCCAGCACTGCCCCGCTCAGCGGTGCAGAGCAGGGAACTGGAGGCAGGGCTCTGCATCTCCAGAAGGCTTCACCTCTGGGAGAGCTCTTTGCTGCTGGTCCATCTATGCAGGCTGCTGGGGTGGGAAGTATCTTTCATGGGGCAGGAATCACACCAGCAGAAGTCGGGTTTACTGGGAGTGTCTTGCAGGGACCTTCTCTCCCTCTCTAAGAGGGATTGCAGCTTTTCAAATGGCCACATCCCCCCTCTCAGAATGAGGGTACCCCCTTTCCAACTCTGCCAGGATGGCTTGCCTTACCCTGCCTGCCCTACACCCTCCCTAGGGAATGCACGCCATGGGCCCAGCATCAGCTCCTTCACCCTGCCGTTCCCTCTGGCTGAACAAGAAATAACAATAAATTGCCCAGACCCAGACAGGGGAAGACTTTGATTTCTCCTGTGTTTTATATTGCTGCTGCTGCTGCTGTTTGGCAAGTTGTCTGGAGTGCTGAGCTGCAGGCGTGAGGAAAGTGGTGCTTGCTGGGGCTCGGGCAACTAATAATGGCATCCTCCTTCCCCAGGTCAGTGCTATTTCCCTGAAGCTTTGTGGAAATGACTCCTCCTGGTAGTCTGTGAAGAAAAGCCCTTCTTACATGTTGCTGGTGAGCTGAAATATCTAGCAGGCCTGTTTTGGAGGGGACATATCTTAAGTTATCTTTGTTCTTTTTTACTTTGAGGGCACAGACAGCAATTACTTGTCTCTCTTACGTGGCAGTCGCTGCTCAGGGGGAGCCGTGGTCCCCGCTGAAGGCGCCCCTGGGGACCCTTGTGCAGCCAGAGCAGCTTGTCTTAGGGGGGGCCGAAGGGATGCGGGGAGGATGCAGGGTGCAGAGGAGCAGCAGAGGGGCAGGGGACGTGCTGCAGAGAGAAAGACTTCAACGGCAGGAGGAGACGGAGCCCCAGGCCG